TGTGTATCACGTGTCCTGCCATTGCGGTTATATATCCAATAGCAGTAGTTACGTCCTGGGAGAGGAGTCACATTTAATCTGGAGTCCAAAAAGAGGGGCTTGATGATGGAGAGCATTGCTCACATGACAACATCATAGCAAACACATTTCATGCGAATCCACGCGTAAAGGGGAATTGGGAATGGGAATTTGTGGGATTCTCGAGAAACAAAGGGACATTTCCTTAGTGGTTTGATTTAGTGGATTATTTGGCTAAATGTTGGCTCTGGCTACAGTAGCTAAGGGGATATCAGGTGACCCAACACAATGACCATGTAACATAGACTGTAATCTGACTGTCAGGATTTGGCACTGATCTACATATATATTAGCTCAGTGCACAGTTCCTGGTGCACTTTTTTCTTCTTAACCATAGACCAGATTATAAGAGAAGATCAAACTGGTTTTATAAAGGTGCTCTAGCACCATAGAATATAATTTTGTATCTAAACTGTAGTAAGTTCAATATAAGTAACACCCAAGTTTGGTCCCAAGTGGTGGTATAAATGAGGGCAGTTGTCTATAATATTATATTTTTAGCATCCATTTGTATCGCATGACTATCAATACTCCTCTTCCATAGACTAGCAAACAACCTAATGAAACCCCAAAACAAGCAAAGAAACAGAAAGAAAAATAAAGTTATCATTGGTAATCGTGCAAAACAAAACAAAAAGCATTCAATTAATATTTGTTTTCTATTTTCATCAGTAGCTCATTACCAACGATATTTAGTCATTTAAAAAAGGAGTTTAATTCTAATGCACTGAAGCAAGACCATGTTTGGCAGAGCAAATGCATTGGGTTGCATTTCAGAAAAAGAGACAAGAAAAAAAACAATATGAAAACCCTTTTGGTGAAAATGAGACTAAAACAAAATGTTTTGTAAGTTAATGTTGCATTATGTTGAATTATTGCAAATATAGGTAGTTATCAATAAAACGTCACAATAAGGTGCAGAGCGTTCGATTTGCCTGCTGGGGGGCAAGGAGACTACCAGCTCCACTAAAACCATGGACAACTGTGTGCCATTTTCAGTAGTAGTGTGTGGGTAAAATCACTGGGGAAGCCCAGCCAGAAAAAAAAGCCATATTACAACCTATGTATTGTGATAATTGCTTTATTTGCTCTATAACCTGTTAGTTCATATTACTTGACACTGTGATATATATGCCTGAGGCCGAGACAATAAGAAGACACAGTGGCAGAAAAATTCAACCACACCTTTGTTTCAACACAAACAGGAGGTGTTATACATTTTTTACCTCCTGTTTCAGGAAGTGATGTCACTGAGTACTGCCCCTATAAATAGGACCTTCCACCCCCACCTGGGATATGGATGCCTGATGAAGACCTAAGGGTCGAAACGTTGTTATAAATAAATATCACCTGGGAGCATGAGCAGCAGTGTGCAGCGTTTTCCTTTCTGTTTATCATTAATTTGCCTATAGCTCCAGCACTTGTGGAAAATACCTGGATGTGCGTATGTTCTTCAGCTTGTGTAACAAACCGTTACATGACCTACAGCAGTGGTCACCAACCTTTTCTGAATCAAGATCACTTTCTGAGTCAAAATGCAAGCCGAGATCTACCGCTCAGATTTTATTTTAACATTACTTAAAAAAACATAGGCCTATGCAACATTAACTTATTAAAAACAGTACTGTAGCAATGAGGTTTGTGTAGTAAGCTATAGGCCCAATACATTATCACTGCATATTGACTTTGCTTGAATTGCCCTGCCAATACATTGTTGTTCGAACCATTTTTGTAAATTATATTTCCAAATTTGAGGTAGGCTATGATCACACCGGTAATATATCAGTTGTATTACTTGTGAGGCACAACTTAGCGAGCATACATTTAAATAATTTGCTTTTTATTTTTACTGGGCTGATGGTGCCTGCATCTGATGGTCAGTCTCAGTGGAGGGAGAGAGCAGCAGACTAAGGGTCTGCCTCTCAACGTCCCTCCACTCTCCCTTTCCTCCACTGACACTGACCAAAAAGGGACACCATCTTCCAGCTAATGGCTAAACTCGAGTCGCACCGCATTATTTCTGCCTCATGCACAAATTCATGTTGTTACTCCTATGAACAGAGAAAGTGAAATATTCCTTGATATTAAAAAAGACCCAAGCCGCTAATAATAACAATGCAAGCCTATCGACACACTTTCCTACTCATTCATTACAACTGCAGTGCTGGTTGTAGCGCGAGTGGAAGTAGGAAGAACAAGCATTTTATGTTGAATAAAAAGGGTTGGCAGTGCTGAGTAAAAACATGAACTCACTCATAAAAACAGCAGCTCTTTCCTGTATTCGTTGACAGTATCTCTCTAGTCATGGTTTTAAAAGTTTTGAAATTTCACAGTATCAACTTTTTTACGCCTGCTACATTACTGGAGACAAATCTGAGCAATCCGATTGGCCAGCGGTAGGCCTATAGTGCACTTGATTTGCTCTACAGGCCCGCTGGGAAGGCGGGTTTGTACCTTCAGACACATGAAATGGTTCTAAATTGGAACACTTCGCCTACCCGGCACACAGGGCAGCTGAATCAGGTGCACCTACCGCCAACAGCACGAGAATAATAAATAAAAAAATAGGAACGCTCAACGCTGATTGGCTATTATTTTATTTTAAAAAATATCAAAAGGAAGCCAAATGCTCGCTTGCATTCAATGCTACGGTTGACAATAATGTCATACTCTTTTTGACCAGACTGCATAGATGGGCTACACATACAGAGACAGAGGGGCGCTGTTTCGTTCACTTGGATGCTTTCTCTGGTGAGATACAGTCAGCCTCTTGTGAATTGAAGGAAATGTATGAAACACAGAGAGATGACAGATCCTTTTTTGCTTAGGTTTTTTTTTTTTTTTTTTTGACGAAGCTTGGCTTCCCTTGGCATCCATGAATACACGCCACTGTTAACTATTTGGTTGTAATATTATCACGTCTTGAAGAGCATAGTCAGAACTACAAATGTCTGATTATTCCATGCAAAACAATTGCGCACATTCACTGTAGCTCTATCATCAGAGTTATACAGCAAGTAACTTCATGCTTTTCATGATCAGTAAACATCAATTGATCATGTAATTTCAGATGCGTGAGGGTAACCTCACGATATCTCTCAATATTGGCAACTCTTAATTGGATATTTGATTGATATAAAATAAAAGTGAACTATACCTGACAAGTATGAGTGGTTTAGGTTAATTTCCCATCCTTCTTGGGCTCTGCCTGTCAAGCAGCAGAAGGGCATATTTGCCCATGTACTTTTAGCTGATAATGTTTATTTTGCAAGCTACTGGTAGAAAAGTTGTGACCAATAAAATGTGATTTTATTTTATTTGAAGAGATGATGATATTAAAACCAAATAGTTATAACATTGATTTAATAATACCTTGAAAACGGCACATAGTTGTCAATGGTTTAGCGGAGCTGGGGGTCTCCTTGCCCCCCAGCAGGCAAACTGAACGCTCTGCACCTTATTGTGACGTTTTATTGATAACGACCTATAGACTTCCATTATGTACATTAATTAAGAGAATGCATTAGTATGTCATTGTCATGAACAAGTCATATGTTGTTATTTTATGCTATGGACAACCTGCTTGTCAATGGCTTTCGGATATGGGTGATAGCATTGTAACAGAAAAATGCACTTCATATTTAAGATATTCAAGGAAGTAATAAACAAACATGCATTGAGTGTGAGACTGTTTCTGTCTGCACAGGACTATGAAATCTTGCAGTTTTCCTTTTGCATGCTGATATAGCATGCTGTTACTTTAAATTAAAGATTTTTTATGCAGCAATGGGAACTAATAATTTAACATTTCAAAATGTACTGTATTAGTAGTTATACGGAACAGAACAAAGTCAAAAGGGAACCATGGAAAGATTACAAATCAAATTGAAATCTTTGGTCCTTTGTTATTACTGATATGTGAAAACATGATTGGGAATATATATGACATTCATCATCACACACAACACTCACACAACAGAGGACAAGGAGGCATGTTAGTTCAACCCTTATCTGGATGATGAACAGATGATTGATGATGACATCCTGTTAAAATACAGTAGCGGTTTCACCTCTATTGAAAAGGTACTAGCTTTACCATTAAGATGGCATGTATCACAAAGCTCAGCGGAAAATACTATCTACCAGCTCCAATGAAAAATCCTGCATATATCACTGTTACTCCACTAGTTGCTGTATATTCATACCATTCTATTGCATTATTCCTGTCCAGTTAAGGTGCTGGCAGTTGTCGCCCTTGTAAAACATACTGGAACAGAATCCTATGATGACAAATGATATAAAACAGTTTATGATTCATTGAGAGTCTATTTCCATAATGTGGTGGAGGGAGCCAAGGCCACTGGATTAATTATAGAAATAAAATATGAGAGAGAGAGAGAGAGAGAGAGAGAGAGAGAGAGAGAGAGAGAGAGAGAGAGAGAGAGAGAGAGAGAGAGAGAGTGCCATTCGGAGCTTAAGTGTGGACCCAGCCTAACCCAGAGGCACTCTGGAGGCTTCCCTTCGCAGTGAGGAGCTCAGTCATAAATATTACACCATTACACAGCGCATCCAGCCACTAACTCCTCTGCTCCGCACCAGCCATAGGTCATCTATCAGCAGGTGATGATGGACAGAACGTACTGGAAATTAATCAATTATGAGAGCAGTAATGAGCTGAATCAGGTACAATAAATGTGGCATGGACATTTGATCCTCCTCAGGATGTTGTGCTGTAGTTGGTGGTCTACTGTACACTATGCCTCACTCATGACCGTAAATGTAAACATGTGCATTGTTTGAGAAAAAACACATACAGTATGAACAAATCACACTTACAAACAGAAACACACAGATTCAGACACCCACCCCCACACACACACACAGGCACATGCACATACCGAAACACACACTCCTGTGTGTTACAAGTACAGGTAGTATGTCCAGTAGAGGAGGTTGACGAATACAAAGGAGAGGGGGAAGGTCCTCCTGGAGTAGTTGTCTATTAAGTGGGGATTCTCCACATGGCAACAGTTTGCAGCTTTGCGCAGGATCTTGCGGAGGAGGACCAGGACAGTGATGCAGCGGTTCGGGGTCTCCTCAGGGGCCTCAGGCTTGGGTTCGCTGCCAGTGGAGCTGGAGGGGCCTAGTTCCAGCTCTGCCATGGGCGCTGAGGCTGCAGCAGCTTTCTCCTTACGCCTCTTGGCCCTATTGTTTTCAGTGGCGATGGTAGTGACCATGCCGTTCATCTCCTCGTCAAAGCCTCCCATCTGGTGACCGTACTGGAGGGGAGGGAGGGGGAGAGAGAGGCACAGCAAGAGGTGTGAAGAGTACACTTACTAATGCACCAAAACTGATGCTATTGACTGAAATGAAAAAAAGGACAAGATACTTACATTAATAGTGTATGCGACATTGCAGCAGACAAGAAATGATGAAGACGATGAAGATGATGACGATTCTGATAATGATGCTGATGAGGATGACGATAACGATGATGATAATAATGATGCTGATGATGATCAAGATCATGAAAATGACGGCAATGACGATGCTAATGATGATTACAGCGACAATAACAATGATGACGAAAGTGACAATGATAACCACACCACTGTCGATAACAATGCTGAAGGCCTCACCATGACAATGTTGGCGTCGGGGTGGTTGAGGGTGCAGAAGTGGGCCACTGCGTACTCGATCAGCGCTCCGAAGATGAAGCTGAAGCAGATGCCCAGGTACACGTCGATGGCCTTGATGAAACAGTTGGCATTGGGCAGGGACGTCCTGGCACCCATCATCAACGTGGTCATGGTCAGAACCGTGGTCACTCCTGTCACAAACAACAGCACAATGGTTGGATGAGTCATTCAATCTTTGAAAGCATCAAGATCGCCAGTGTCCTGGAGTTTTCCTTTCAATTCACAAACAACAACAAAACGATATAGCTTAACGATGAACTACCACTTGTGGTCACTCCACACATGTAGAAATCAATAGGATTCAGCTTGAGTTGAGTTACCTGGCCTTAATTCACCAGTCTAGATGTATACGTTATATTACAGTAATACAAAGGTAGGCTAACAGGAGTATGATTCACTTGTGGAACATCCTGCTTTCTCTAACCGCCTGCATTCTACATGTTTTCAGACAGCCAAAAAGCTTCTGATCAGCAGGTTTGCATGGAGTAGAGTGTGATAGGATGGGAAAGGCATCTGCTTGGTTTTGATTGGTGGGTGTGTTTCCTGGTTTAAGGAACAGTGGTTTACCGATGCAGACTCTTGCGGGGACGGAGGACTGGCTGATCCAGAAGGAAACCCAGGACAGGACCACCAGCAGGCTAGAGGGAACATACGTCTCCAGGATGAAGTACAGGATGCTTCTCTTCAGCTCAAAGTGGAAGATCAGCTTGGGGTAGTGGCCTGTGAGAGAGAGACAGAGAGAAATGAACAGCAGAGAGACATGAGAATGAGTGTGCTAATAGAACCCAAAGGTTCCTTAAAGGGTTACATTTACTACCAACTATTCATTTAAAGGGATAGTTCACACAAATTACAACATTACATATTGGTTTTCTTACCCTGTAGGCAGTCTATGGACAAAATTCGCATCATGTTCAAATCATCTATAAGTGACTTTGTTGAACTTCACAATATATTTTAGATACTTCGGATGATTTGGACATGATGCGGGAACATTTGTAATATCGGTACCATGACTTGAGTGGGATTTGTGCCACAAATGCTAAAATGTTTGCAAATGGAAACACTGCCAGGGAAATTAAACCAAAGCATGGATTACTGTCATACCATGTCCATAGACTGCTTACAGGGTAAGGAAACTAATGTGTCATTTTGTAATGTGGGTGAACTTTCCTTTAAAAGATGAACATGGCTAACATTCATAGCTAGATTATAATTTATTTTGAGTTGCTTAGTTGCCTGTCCCCATAATTGCCAAAAGCTTCATGCTGCTCAATATTATTTTTGGCACACAGAACCAAATGTGGCACGCCCGTTTGCCAGCTAATGCTTCATCTGTCACAAGAGACTAAATCTAAACAGTAGTCAAACAATATTTGTGAAAGGATAATGAAAGGATAATGTTAGAGGTAGGAGTTGAAAGTCAAACCTGTTTCATAGATGGCCTCAGACGCAGAGGTGTAGTGGTCCTCTACTGTGTACTGAGCTAGACGCAGCGTGTCCAAACCACTGACCGACTCATTCCCTCTGGTCCAGTAGAACATCACATCATTGGTGTTGTTGCCCCCTGTATAGCGAGGGATAGATAGAGAGAGAGAGGAGAGAAGAGGAGAGAGAGAGAGAGAGAGAGAGGAGAGGGGAGAATAGAGAGAGAGAAGAGAGATAGAGATAGGAGAGGAAGAGGATGAGAGAGATGGAGATATAGGATAATAGAGATAGAGAGAGAGATCGGAGAAGAGGAGAGAGAGAGAGAGAGAGGAGAAGATAGAGGACTCGAGAGCAGATAGAGATGCTGATAGAGATAGAGTCGCTGCTTCGAATAGGAGGGGAGTGGTGACAAAGAAAGATGAAGTCAAGTAAAAGACAGTGAGATAGCTAATGGGGGTCTATTACACTAAGCGACTACATGTTTTGCAATAACACTTTATCACACATACCAGTGTACTACTTACTATACATCTAATAGAAACACAAACAGTCATCCATTAAACAATGAATAAGGGTTAGCTGGCTACTGAGCTGTAAGTGTGCGACAGCCACAGGTAAACTTTAAAATGTTAATGTTTTATTCAAACTATATTTTTATTAAATATGTTGTATTAAATAATAGTAGCATACAGTAGCAACAGCCCTCCATTGCTCATTGTGAAGCACTGTGACATCCAGCAGGAGTGAATAGGAAATGCTAATGCAAATGCAGCTTTAATGTTCATTCAATACTTCAAGAGAGGGAGAGAGAAGGGAAAAAAGAGGGCAAGAAGGAAACAACGGCAATGAGGATATCACTGCTTTAACAGTTTCCTTCCTGCCTAACACAACAGCAGGTAATTCATATATATTTCAGGTCTTATATTTTGTCAGGACCTTACATAATCCTACAGACCAGTTTACACGGGATTTAGAAGACCTCACAGTGACACTGTATAACAATGTCTATTAAACTTAGTAGCAAGCTGCTTACTGTATAAAGCCACAAGCTATAAAGGACTGATAATGTGTGTACTGCTCCGGAACAGACCTGGGGTTCAAATGCTATTTGAAATAATTTAAAGTACTTAAACTGTGCTTGATTGAGCTTCCCTGTTGAAATGAACCAAATGAAAAATCCCAAAAATGCGTTGCCCGCCCACCTGGCACATCAGGCGGGGTAAAGCAAACGCTCAAAGGATTTGAAAGATTTCAAATAGTATTTGAACCCAGGTCTGCTCCGAAACACACATTTTCTATGCTCAGGTAGACATTTCCTTTGGAGATTCATTATGAGACGTAGTTCAGTAATTAACCTGCAGAGGACGCTGTAGCATAAGAAGCCCTACGAGGCGACTGACTGGAGAAGGAGAAATATCCTGGGACACACAGGATCCCCATTTCCTGTTGCTTCATTAGATCAAATACTCATTGTTTGGCCTTTTATCAATTCAATTTGCTCACCTCCTGTGTCTTCTCTCCTCAGTTCTCTCTCGCCTCCTTATGAAAAAGGTCAAAGTTAACCGAGGAGAGTCGGCGAAGAGAGTGAACGTGGATGGAAATGCGCTTGTTTGAAAATCATTCTACACTTGCGCATCATTAGGCGAACAACGTTTACAGGGGTGGATCCCAAAAGAAATGTGTAAAGTGCTCAAAACAAATGAAGTTAGTTGTGCAAGACATTTTTATAGATAAAACAATAAGTAACCTATCGTTTTTAAACGTGTGCAGGTTTTTCTCCTCTGGCAAAACAAAAGCTGATTGAAAGGGTGTGTGGCAGATTTCAAAACTCTTCTGCGGTAGGATACACATGAGTATTCCTCGTTGAAAGGTGGCTATCGAGGAGGGGACGACACTCTTCCGTTTGCCTACTAACGAAGAATTGACACAGTCCTCGACCACTTATCGGTTTCCGAGTCAGGGGGGAGAGAGGACTGAGGAGAGAGGACTGGGGAGAGAGGACTGGGGAGAGAGACAGAGGATGGTCTTTTACTCTAATGATCTCATGGTTCTTACTCTGCCATCTCACCATCTCCCCTGACGTATGAAAATCCAGGAAGGCATACATTATTGAGGAAAGTGTGTTTAATGTAGTATGCAGAGCACCCTGCCGAAAAGCAACAGAGACTTTGAAGCTGCTGAGGCTCAGGATCTCTTGTTGTACCTTCTTCAGTGTTGTTATGTTTACCCTTTTACCGACTGAACTCGTTATTTTCATGACTGCCGGGTCAGGGCAATGTGCAAATAAGGGTTTGAAGCATGCTCCGGTGCCGCAGTCCTGTGCAGTAGCACGTGAATGGTTACATTAGGACATTAGGGTGTTGAGGTGCTCTGAAGCCTGAAAAGTGCACTACCCTGCAGCCTGGAGAGGTGAAAGCTTTTGCCTTTTAAAATATACTGCTCACTGAGACAACGAGATGGGGGCATCTTTAAAATGGCTGCATAGAGACTTTTAAAATCTTCAAAACCAAATTAATACAGCATCCTCCACTGTGGTGAGTGTGGTCTCATCATTAAGCAACAATCAAACATGGCTGTGAATGTCTTCTAACTCCAGGCCTTTTCTGCTGTCAGCAGCCACTAAATTTGTCACCTTCATCTCTATCTAAACATCTGGCGCTCATCTTGTCTTTAAACTTCCCTGTTGGAAGTGGAGTGCGGCCTGGGGAGTGAAGAGGAGCGGGGAGCGATGTTCCATTTTTGGCAGCACATTAAAAAGAATGACACCTCACAGTCTGGCTCTTTTCAGTGTGCTGCTGAAGCAAGGCTGTGGGAGTCTGGGATGCACAGTATATGTTTAGCCTGGCAGTAATGTAAAGGGAAAAATAATTTACTTGACTTGAGTTAACCTCTACATGTATTGAGTGGGATCAGTGGGACATTAGGTTCGAAGTACTGCTTTGGCAGTGATATGGCTATAGCTTAGCACAACTTGCACTGGCGTAACACAATTATGTAACACAGAATGTGTTTGCCAGACAGCCACTCACAAACTGATGATCGCTGTCCATGGTGCTGAAATTGCGACATGTCTATGTGGCTGCATGCCTATGAATCGATGATAGGCTTTCTGTTGTGCAAGGGCATGTACATTGAGTATACCAAACATTAGGAACACTTTCCTAATATTGAGTTTCACCCCCCTTTTGCCCTCAGAACAGCCTCAATTCCATCGGTGTATGGACTCTACAAGGTGTTGAAAGCGTTCTACAGGGATGATGGCCCATGTTGACTCCAATGCTTCCCACAGTTGTGCCAAGTTGGCTGGATGTCCTTTGGGTGGCGGACCATTATTGATAGACACGGGAAACTGTTGAGCGTGAAAAACCCAGCAGCGCTGCAGTTCTTGACAAAAACAGGTGCGCCTGGCACCTACTACCATACCCTGTTCAAAGGCAATTCAATATTTTGTCTTGCCCATTCACCCTCTGAATGGCACACACACAATCCTGTCTCCTCCCCTTCATCTACACTGATTGAAGTGACATCAATAAGGTATCATAGCTTTCACCTGGATTCACCTGGTCAGTCTGTCATGGAAAGAGCAGTTCTTAATGTTTTGTATACTCAGTGTATATCTTTGCTTTAGCTAATGGATGCATGTTTATTGGTAGGCCTATTTGGTCATCATTTTCTCATGTTAAGCCTAACATTTCACAAAGCTATACATGGTGTTGCAATGCTGCCATTTTTAGACTGCTGGCTGGTGGCAATAATGTAATTACTTGTTCAGTATTTAAAGTTGGAAACTCAAACATTGCAGATTGTAAAATAAATGTTGGATGCAACAGCATACTAATCAGCTAATAAACAACTGTCCTGTATAGGCTACCTGAACCTGCATGACATGAGCTGTCGTCGTGCTCTCTCCCAGCTTGGATAGAAAGTTGCTGTGCGTAAAACCAGTCTATTAATGCCAAATAATAAAGTCAGTCCACCCTCAAAACGCTAGCTTACTAGGGATTGTTTCATTATGCAGTGTACTATCTATAGCTATTTACCATATTTAGCTGCTATTTAGCTGCTATTTACAAACTTTTTATAAAAATTACACATCAAATAGCCTAATAATGAGGAAAAAAGTAGTCAGCTTGAGGATAAATTCAGCCACTATTTCTTGTTGAACTCAGCAGGTTTTGTCTGGCTAATAGCCTACACAAATGGACTGCAATTTACAAGGTAAATTAAATTAAATCAAATTAAATCCAACTTGAGAAACTCCCCTGGTCTCCTGAAGTTTTTTTTGTGTGCAAATGTTTTCACCACGGCCTGTAGGTTCAGGTTTTCTGGCCCAACTGTTTTCTATAGGATACTTAGTATTGCCAACCCAGACTTTCCTGAGACATTGTGCATTACAGCCTATGTCCATTGTGCTGTACACAATTTAAACTTAGTCGTGAATGATGCATGCCAAGATATACCAGAGATAAAGTGGCTTGCGAAAGTATTCACCCCCCTTGGCATTTTTCCTATTTTGTTGCGTTAAAACCTGGAATTAAAATGGATTTTTTGGGGGGTTTGTATAATTTGATTTACACAACATGCCTACCACTTTGAAGATGCAAAATATATATACATACCCCTAGAGCTGCTAGTCTCTAGGGGTATGTCTCTATAAGCTTGGCACATCTAGCCACTGGGATTTTTGCCCATTCTTCAAGGCAAAACTGCTCCAGCTCCTTCAAGTTGGATGGGTTCCACTAGTGTACAGCAATCTTTAAGTCATACCACAGATTCTCAATTGGATTGAGGTCTGGGCTTTGACTAGGCCATTCCAAGACATTTAAATGTTTCCCCTTAAACCACTCGAGTGTTGCTTTAGCAGTATGCTTAGGGTCATTGTCCTGCTGGAAGGTGAACCTCCGTCCCAGTCTCAAATCACTGGGAGACTGAAACAGGTTTCCCCCAAGAATTTCCCTGTATTTAGCACCATCCATCATTCCTTCAATTCTGACCAGTCTCCCAGCCCTGCCGATGAAAAACATCCCCACAGCATGATGCTGCCACCACCATGCTT